ATCTGCCTCATTTGAACCTAATGACACTTCTGAAAACTCTCAGTCGGGGGATATAGAGCTTTGCCAAACACCTATCACTTCTGCTGATACAAAATCAGATACTCTAACAGGAGGAGAAAGCTCGGGCCATCCAGCTGCCTCTCAGGAGCCCAATGAATGTTCAGATCAGAGACCTGCAGAGGACCTCACTGTCAGAGTGGAAAGGTTTGATCCTATTTTTGCAAGTACCTTTTTTTTAAATGGCAGTGGTTTTCTACTATGCTAAATAATATAAATGAACTTTCAGAATTCTGGGCTGAAATTTTTGTTTAACCTATTTAATTTGAATTCATAAAAATGATATTCTAGTAAATAGTAAAACTTTTCCGTATCTGAAGTCAGTAGTCAGCTGGGTTCTGCTCTATAGTCTTATGTGCTGTGACTCTTACATTATGTGAACTGAAGGTAAATCAGTAAGCAGGAATATCTTTAATCCTGGCTTTTAAACCATTAGTGTTAGGGCTGGGGAGATGGCTCAGTGGAATAAGTCTTCCCTGGCAAGTGCAAAGGCCTGAGTTCAATCCCCAGTTCCGCAAACCAAAACAAAACAAAACAAAAAAAATTAGTGTTATATAGAAGTCTTAATTTCTTGGTGGGGGATGGGTGCAGGGATTTAGCTCAGTGGCACAAGCACCTGCCTGGCAATTGCAAGGTCCTCAGTTCAATTTCCAGTACCAAAAAAAAAAAAAAAATTCTGTTTGAGGGTCTAGCTCAGTGGTAGAATACCTAGCATGCATAAGGCCCTGGGTTCTACCACCATTACTGCAAAAAACAAAAAAAAAAATCGTTAGAGAGATTTTATATTTTCTTGTTCATAGAAATGCTTTGGGGAGGCAACCAAATAGTTCAGCAGATTAAAGCGCCTGCAAGCAGGTGCAGGAGGCAGGACTTTGATCCCCGGGCCTACCATGCTGGCCCCACCCCCCGGGGCATGCTGAGAAGGCAGTTGAGACTGGGCGTGGTGGCATGTGCCTGTAATCCCAGCTCTTGGGAGGCTGTAAACAGGCAGATCACTAAGAGTCCAATCTAGTAGTGAGACCCTGAACACCCTATAGACCCTTCCCTAAAAAAATAAAATAAGAATTCTCTTTTTTTAAAAAAAAGAAATGCTTTGGGGAGGGCTGCGGAGATAGCTCAGTGGTCTAAGCACCTGCTGGCTAGCGCAAGAACCCAGGTTCAATCCCCAGTAATGCCGATCTAGTTGCCAAGACTGGACATGGTGGTGCATGCCTGTAATCCCAGTGCTGGGGAGGCTGAAACAGGAGAAATCACTATGAGTCCAAGCTGCATATTGAGACCCTGTACCAAATATATTTTAAATTTATATATTTATTTATTTATTTTAGTGTGTGTGTGTGTGGCCAGCTCAGCCCACCAGCGGGTGGGGCTGGCTGGCATGTGGTGCTGGGGATTGAACCGTGGTCTCTGTGCTTTTGCTTAACTTGTAAGTAGGTGCTTTAGACCACTGAGCCATCTCAGCAGCCCCCCCAAATATATTTTAGAAAATGTTTTGGGGAAACAGGATTCAGACTATGAGATCACAGTTAGTAAATAGCTTCTTTTTAGCAAAACCTGGATTGTGGTTATAACTGTGTGGCAGGGCTGAGACATCTCTCAGATTGTTAAAGAAATGGCATAAGGATGAAAGAACAGCATCAGGGATCTCAAGTTCTCAGTGGCTCATCTGTCCTCTTTTGTTTTTGTCTTCCTAACACCAGGCCCAGCAGTATTCATCCCAACTTGTATACTTGCTGGTTGAGCTAGAGATGTCAGAAATCTGAAAAAGGGTTTGAAAACCAGGGAAAGGGAGAAAAATAGAAATAGTAGCCCTTTATTGTGAGATGAGTGAGGTGCTATGTAGTTGCAGTGGAAATGGGGAGTTTCTGTTATTGTTTGCTAAGAGAGTGTCAGCTATTACTAGCCTGAATGGTTCTGGAAATATACCTTTTTTTTTTTTTTTTTTTTTTTTTTTTTTTTTTTTTTGCGGAACAGGGAATTGAACTCAGGCCCTTGCACTTGCCAGGGAAGCGCTTTTTCCTCTGAGCCATCTCCAGGGCCCTCTATTACCATTTTTAATTAGGAAAAAAATTTTTTTAGAGTCATTCTGAGGTTAATGTGTTATATTTGATATAATGAAACAAAACCATATAAGAACATGGACCAAGGTATTTATATAGTTATCTATGAAAAGATAATCATGGATACTTTTTCATTGCTCTTTTTTTCCCTCATAACTCTGAGGTTCTGATGTTACCAAATTTTCTTGAGCATGGTGTACTGTTAATTAAGAGTTCTTAAACCAAAGAAAAATTCAGGATGCTCTTGAAGATAGAGACAATTTTGTAAAAACAAATTCTGTTAGAATATTTGTTTCGGCTTGTGTCTAGCTGTCTTCCCAAAGCCTCATGCAGTCATAGTTGGGGCTTTTTCAGAGGTGGCTGGATCTAGAGAGAGAGATGCTGGAATTGATCCATAGTACAGTGTTAGGATCAAGGGCACTAGGATTAAGGCTGTGAGTGCTCCTTGCCCAGAGTAGGCTGGATAAGATAAAAGGGATAGAGATGTGGTCACCTCTTGCTTGCTTTGTTACCTTCTGCCCTCTATGAACCGTTTCTCCTTTGTATTGTCTGTCTTTCATGCCACCCTGCCTCGGAGCCAACTGTGTACTAAAACCTCCACAAACTGAGTTAAATAAATGTTTCCTCCTTTAACTTTGGGAATTGGGTATTTTGTCTCAGCAATGAGAAAAATAAGACAATACTTAAAATATGTGTGAGCTTTGGCCTTTTAAAAAAGACTCTGACATTGAAATAGAATAAAATGTTGAGCCAGGGATGGCTCAGTGGAATAAGCACTTCCCTAGCAAGCGCAAGGGCCTGAGTTCAATCCCTGGTTCCACAAAAACTAGAATAAAATGTTGACAAGCTTGATAATGAAACAGTTTTAGGGCCAGCCAAATAGCTCAGTGGACTAAAGCACCTGCTTAGGCAGAGCTCTGGCTGGGTTTGATCCCAGGTGTGCAGTGCTGTCCCTGCCCCTGGGGCATGCTGAGATGGCAGTTGAGACTGGGCATAGTGGCACGTACCTGTAATCTCAGCGTTTAGGTGGCTGAAAACAGGAGAATCAATACAAGTCTGATCTATGTAGTGACCCTGTAGACCCTGTACTAAATACATAAAAAGAAAAGAAAGTTTTTTTTTGTTTGTTTTGGCGGAACCGGGGATTGAACTCAGGCCCTTGCGCTTGACAGGGAAGCGCTTATTCCACTAAGCCATCTCCCCGGCCCCGAGAAGAAAGTTTTTATTGGGAAGTTACTTTTTATTTTTTAATGGAACTGGGATTGAACTCAGGCCTATTCTACTGAGCTATCTCCCCAGTCCTGAAGTTATTTTTTATTATGACAACCTTTAAAAAATCCAGATCCATCTGATCATATAATTAAAGTTTATATATGCAGATATTATATAAACTTAGATTCTTTGAGTCAAATTCAAGACTTGCACTTGCCAGGCAGGAGGTTGTGCTACTGAGCTATGTCCTAGGTCCAGCACCTAAGATTGTTGCTGCTGAGATTAACATATTCGACTCAACCAGCCTGTATAGCCTAGATTCTAGAACTAATCAGTTCATAAGCTGAATTACTGTATTTCTTTCTGTTTGAGTTCATATCCAACTAGAAATCTTGTTCCTTTTGTGCAGTCTGATTTGTTGACAATGTCAGTAACTCATAACACCAACCCATGTATTATTTTTATCCCAAATAGTTTTTTAGCTCATCACGTACACCTTAAGGGTTCTTTTTTTTGTGTGTGTGAAACTGGGGATTGGACTCAAACCCTTGTGCTTGCCAGGGAAGTGCTTATTCCACTGAGTCATCTCCCCGGCCCCTTTTTTTGTCTTTTTAAGACAGGCTCTTATGCAGTTCAGGCTGGTCATGAGCTCACTTTGTAGCCCAGGCTGGTCTTTTTTTTTTT